TGACGCTCTCACTGACACCCTCTAGCCTCATGTTCAGCTGTTCTGTATGTCATGCTTCACAGATTTAAAAATACCGAGAGCAGCTAAACAATAAAAGAAAAGATGAAAAGGTTCAGAAACCATTAAGGATGGCTGTTTGCTCAAGGATCCCTCTTGTCCAGAGAGCAGTACCCGTTGACGAGCGGCAGGCCCATGGAAAACAGGGTTAAGGGAGCCCTGAGCACAGAGACGGAGGGTGAACAGAGGAGAGACTGGTGGCAAACGGAAAGAAGGGATGCAGCCCACCTCCACTTTTCTTCCAGGACAGCTCACTGCCATGACCACCTCGAGGCCACAGGGTCCTGACCACCTTGTGGCCATGGTGCGGGGGTCTTGTGGAATCCACTGTTAGAGCCATCTTTAATCTGGACAGAACACTCTCAAACAGAAGTAGCAAGCTCCAAACGTGTAAGATGCAAAAGACAACTATAAATATTTCCTTCAACGCCTTCCAAATGTTAGCAGCCTGAAAACTGAGTCATTTGTTTTGAGTAGTTTGCTAGAACTGCACTCCGAATTACTATAAAACCAAACTAACCCCTGATTCCAGCTGATTCCAACTCACGGTGAACTCACAGGACACAGCCTAAGAGCTCCGTGGGGTTTCCAAGGCGCGCTGTTTACGGAGGCGTGGCTGCTGGCTGGCTTAGGACTGCCAGTCTTTCAGTTAGCAGGGAGCACTTCAACCACCGCACCACTAGGCACCTAAAAACCACTAGAGGAGGGAGACTGTGCTAGAGATGAGAACAGGCCCCCAAACACCAAAGTCACTGCCATGGAGAGGAGAAACCAAAATTAATAGAAACGTCTAGGCCACTGTTAAACCATTTCTGCGGCTTCACTTCTGCGCCCTTAGTGTGAAATGGTCTCCTACTTGCTTTCATCTCTGCTTCAACTGTAAACACACCCATGGCCATGCCAGCCGACAGGCAATGATGATGACTATGTAGAGCCCACTGAATCATTCTGGTCTCCAACCCTTCTAGTGAGCCCCCAATTTGCTCTGGCTCCTGGTCTGTCTTCTCAGGGACGCTGTGTGGTTCTAATACTCAGGTGGGCTCCTTGAGACGGTGACAAGCTGTGGGTGCTCGCTCAGCTCTCAGAGCTATAGGAGGGGCCCAGAGGGTGTGTATCTCAGCTATGTCACTTGCTGGGGGTGGTGGAGCTTCAGTGTACCCCCAGTAACACTTTCCCCCCCCCCCATTTTAGTTCTGCTTTCTAGAAGCTACTCTAGAACCTACAAGAATAAGGATGCATAATTTGAGGTTTCAAGCAGTCCCCAAAGTAACACAATCACTGAGGGTGACCCTGCTGCCATTGAGAGGAACCTGGGCCCACGTGGTGGGGAGCTGGGGAGGAGGGCACAATGTGCTCGGCCCCACTCATCCGTCCTCAGCCCCACAGCCCTTCACTGACCATGCTGTGGCCATGCTGGGGAGCCACACACTTCACAGGCCAGTGCCCCTGAAGGACAAAGAGGGTTCAGGGCCATCACCAAAAACGACCCCAAAGCAGAATACCGTGTAGAAAAAAATACTACAGATTAGAGGGGAAGTGAGTAGGCAAAGAACAGAAATCAACAATCCAAAAGCCGGTTTCTTTGAAACGAAAAGATCATCAAAATGGATAAATCTTTAACTAAAATGAACACAAAGAAAAAATGTAAGACTGAAATGGCAAAAACACAGAAGTAAGAGAGCAGCCATTACTACCATCCTTACAGAAACAAACAAGGTGCTCACGCACCACCACAAGTGACTGTACGCCACTGAGTGACGTTATCACGGACCACCATGAACAGCTGTATGCCAGTCAGTGAGGTTATCACGGACCACCATGAACAGCTGTATGCCACTGAGTGAGGTTATCACGGACCACCATGAACAGCTGTATGCCATTGAGTGACGTTATCACGGACCACCATGAACAGCTGTATGCCATTGAGTGACGTTATCACGGAACACAATGAACAGCTGTATGCCATTGAGTGACGTTATCACGGAACACATGAACAGCTGTATGCCATTGAGTGACGTTATCACGGAACACCACAAACAACTCTACACCCATCACTGAAGAAACCTCTATGACACAGACAAGTTACCAGAAAGACATAAACTACTGCAATCAACTCAAGAAGACAACAGAAATGCTGAGCAGACCTAAAATAAGCAAGAGACTGGACTGGTCATCCAAGAAACATCACACAAAGACAAGTCCAAGACCAGACGACTTCACTGGTGAATCCTACAAACATTCAAGAAGATTAACAACGATCCCTTGTGAACTCTTCCAAAAATAGAAGAGGAGGGAACATTCCCAATTCAGTCTCTGAAGCATGATACCAAAACAAGACAAAGAAGTTGTAAGGAAAAGGCACTACAAACCAGTATCCCTCAAAACCCACACAAAACCTCAACAAAATGCTAGTAAAATTGAACCCAGCAACGTACACAAGAATGGTCTACAATGACCAAGGGGGCTAATCCTCAGGGTGCAATGCTGGCTTGACGTCAGCACGTGCTCAGAGCAATAGAACCTGCCAACAGAGGGAGGGTAGGGGATGCAGAAGTCCAAGGCCCTTTCTGATGGAAACACTTGGCAGTCTGGAAGTAGAAAGAAACATCCTTAACCTGATAGATGTTGTTGAGTGCCTTCGAGTCAGTTACAACTCACAGTGACCCTTTATAGGGTTTCCGGGGAGTGGCTGGTGAGCTTGAACCACAGACCTTACAGTCCAGCGAATTAACCCACAGCACCACACCAGGACTTCAACCTGATATATGGCATCTATGAAAAACCTACAGTGAGGATAAGCACTGGACTGCTAACTACAAGGTTGGCACTGGCAGTTAAAACTCACCAGCAGCCCCATGGAGAAAGATGAGGCTGCCCGCCCCCATAAAGATGTACAGTCTGGAAATCCTACAGAGGGTCACTGTGAGTTAGCATCACCTCCATGGCAGTGGGTAATAAAACCCCCGAATATGCAGCCCACCTGAGCATAGGTAACAAGCAGGTACCGTGCCTGAACAGAATTTAGAGGTTCTAGTACAACCCACTCCCCAGGTCAGCTTGTTTGTCTTCATCGCACCAGAACGTGATGTCGGTGCTCCTCTTTGACAGGGGCTTGCAGGGTGCTCTCTCACCCACCTGGTACCCACGAAGAAGGAAGATGGAAGTGGTCCTCCCCTGACCACTCCCTCTATACCAAGAGGCCTCAAACAGGACCCTGACCAGGCCCCCTGACTTTAATTCTGGGGTCTCCCACTACACACTCCATTTCTGATGGGCAGGACTGTGCATCTCCCGTGACCAGCTTTGCACGCTGTGCCTTTCTGCCCATCTGCCCACGATGAGCTCATGAACAGGGGCATTTAGCCCAACCCTTGACTTCTGGCCCTGCCCCGCTGCTGCCTCCAACATCTCAGAACGGGGGGGTGGGGTGGGGTGGTGTCCCAGGTGCTGGCGCTCATGAAGACCAAGCCTCCACACAACAGAAACAGGCTTAGTTACAGCTGCTTGGCCTAGCAGGTTTTCAAGGGCTACTAAAGAGCTGACTAAAATCAGACTTCTGACTCAAGTGGCAGAACAGTCTAGAAGAAAAAAAAAAACCCAATATGGCCGGAGCTGGGGGTCAGGGTGAGCAGGAAGTAGATCTTCTACAAACCATGAAAGACATCCACAAGATGCTGACACTAGGCTTTCTCTAGCTGACAAGATGTGACGTGACCTTCATGTTTTTCTTCACAGTTGGCCCTCCATATCCGTGAGTTCCGTATCCATGGATTCAACCAACAGAGGAGAGAAAACATTGTGGCAGAAGGGGAAGCAATGAAGCAGCCAGAGCAATCCCTCAACAGCAATGAGGGATCGTAAAGTGCTACGCATGCTTTAGGTACTGTAAGAACCTAGAGACGATTTAAAGTATGTGTGTGGGCTATATGCAAACACGACACCATTTTATACAAAGGACATGAGCATCCGTGGATTTTGCTATCCCCGGGGGACCTGAAACCAATCCCCCGTGGATACCAAAGTAAACTGCAACTTCTGAATATTGATTTTCTTTTTAAAAACAACCCCTCATTTTGCAAAAAGCCAGAAACAAAGTATTTTGATTTGAATGTTGGCTGAGGTCATCTTTGAAGATCCGTTGGGCTGTACATTTCACAGATCTGATGATTCCAATCCTGGCATGCTAATGGAAGAGCATGTTCTGATCACAAGCTGGGTGCACGCCTTCCTCCATTTGCTGGGAAGCCCAACGTCAGAGATTGAATTGTGTGCTGCCCCCGTCCCCCCCATCCCCACCATATGTATTAACTTGACAGGTCATGATTCTCAGTGGTTTGACAATTATGTAATAATGTAATACGGCCGTTAATGGCTAATTTGTCATAATGTGATTTGAGATGACAATTAGGACTGCTAACTTGGCATGGGCTGAAATACCCTTAATCCCGTCACAACCCAGCTCTGTCAGGGAGCTTCTCAGGGCGAAACTTGCACCATCTTTTATCTTACAAAGTAAAAAAAAGGGGAAGAGGCATGAACAAAGACAGAGGGGCTTACTACCACCAGACAGAAGAGCTAGGAGTGGGTGGTGGTCTTTGGATCTGGGGTCCCTGCATGTGAAGCTCCCAGATCCAGGGGAATGACTGATGCCAGGACACATGGAAAGCACCAAGGGATGCTGGGTCTACTGATGCTGAAAGGAGACAAGGCCCTTTTCCCAGAGGCCACAAAGAGAAAGCCTTCCCCTCTAGTTGGCTCTCTGAATTTGGACTTCTCACCTCCTAAACTGTGAACCAACAAATGTTTGTTACAACCATCCTCTTGTGGTATTTCCGTTACTGCAGTGCTAGAGAACTAAGAGACCTGTGAAGAAGGCCACGGTCCCAGCTTCCCAACAGCTCCTGCCTCTTAGAAGGGCAAGTCCCTGTTAGTGAATGTTTTACCTGGACAGGTGGTTCAATGGCTATCCAGGCAGGAAGCATCAGACTGGGGTTGAGAGGCTGGGTCCCGACGCGAAAGTAAACACCACCCCTGGAATCACAGGCCCAGATGTGCTGATTTCCACATGCCAAGCTTGTCAGTGTTATAGCCCCTGTGGACAGAGGGAAAGGACAGACAGTGGAATCACCTCTGTGCAAGGACTCTTCTTGACGCTGCCAACCTTGTTTCTGTGCTTCAAAGGGAAGGAGGGGACTGCACTGGGAGTGACCACTTGGCAGGGTGATGAGTTGAGTCACTTTTATATGGCCTTCTTGCCATGGTCTTGTGACGCCTACAAAATGATGCAAATAAGGTGCTTATGGCTCACCAAAGATATTGGACAGCTTTGCAAATAATGCATGAGGTGCTGTGGAAGCGCTGTGGGGGCGGGACCATGTAAATAAGGTATATGGAACGCTAACAAGGAGATTGGTCAGTTTGGTCATCCTGCTAGGCTTAAAATGAGTCGTCGGTGTGGCGGTGCATAATCACTTGACTTCAAGGTTGGTTTGAACTGCAAGGTCAGCAGTTCAAACTCACTAGCCACTCCTCCGAAACCCTAAACAGGGTCCTTATGAGTCAGAACTGCTCAGTGGTAATTAACAACAACACTTGAGGTGGGAAGAAGGAACTCACAACCACCAAGGAAAGCCAGGAGTGGACCGCGTCCTTTAGACCTGGGGTTCCTGTGCTGAGAACCTCCTAGAGCCAGCAAACAGAGAGAGAGCTGGAACACCGGAGCTGCGTGAGATGGCGAGACTCAGCAGAACCCAGAGACCAACATGAGATAGCACAGCGGGCTTCCTGGCCCACGTAGCAAGGCAGCTCTAGCGCATTCGTCAACCCAAGGAGCGAGAAAGCTGAGCTCTTTTGGGCAAGAGGCTTCTGGTGGTGTGGGGCACCCCAGGCACTTATTGGTGGGGCTAACGAGCTTTGTAACACTGGCTCGAACACAGCAGAGCCCTGAAGAGCTGTATCCTGAGTCGTTCCTGACCCTGAATCGTAGCCTGTTACTTCCTTAATAATCCCATAACTGTGAGTATGGGCTGTGAGTTGTGTGTGGCCTTTGCAATGAATTATCCCACCCAGCAGAGAAACAGAGAGTGACGTGGGAGGGACGGTTGGTGTCAGAAATGGTAAAAAGATAGGAGGGTGGAGGTACATCTGATCTCATAGGAAAACATCAGCTTTGGGCTGATGCGGAGGATGGTTATCCTCCCTCCCTTATGAAGTTACAGGACCTCTGATGCCACCCCACCACTTTTACAACTCTGATACCAAAGTGTCCAATCTGTTCTGGCCCATTCACACCAGGTGTGCAGACTTTGCTGGCCACACACAGACCTCCACCACCCACCTTCTTTCTGTTGCCCTGTGTGGAGGCTTGCACGCTGCTGAGATGCAGGGCCTGTGTCACGAGGGTTTCAAACACCAGCAGGGTCACCCGTGGTGGACTGGTTTAACAGAGCTCTCAGCAAAGACTAAGAAGGAAGACCTGGCAATCTACATCTATAAACAAGCCGGTGAACACGCTGGATCGCGCCAGACCACTGATGGCTCCTTGGGGAGCACCGTCAGGAAGGGATGGCCTGGTGAAGCCGTGGGTCAGCAGGGTCGGACGTGTCAGCACAATGACCGCAATGGTGGACTCCAACATGCTGCTGAGGGTGAAGATGGTGTGGGACGGGGCTCTGCTCTGTCCCCTGTTCCACCTAAGGGCGCTGCAGTAAGCTGGAATTGACAGTTGACAGTGGTCACCTGCTATCGGTCTGTTACCTTACTGCACGGAAACACAACAGTTGGCGGACCCAACGTGTGCTGTTATGAACCAGGCATCCAGGAGCATTCTTGTGGAGGGCTCCTTGTGCACAAGTGTTGGTTGGTTTTCCTGGGTAAGTGCAGGAGTGGAACTGCTGAGCAGGTGGGTAGATGGGATTTCTGTGTGTGCACACCTCTCCAGCACCCGGTGTCTGCTGGCACTTCTCCAGCCACGGTTTCCATGTGCATGCCTCCGGTAACTAAACTGGCATTGAGTACCTTTCATGTGCTCACAGGGCATTTACATAGCATTTTCTGTAAAGTGGCTGCTTGAGCCTTTTGCCCCTTTTAAAAATTGAAAGTCTATCTTCTGATTGTGGAGTTGGAGGAATTCTTTGTCTACGCTGGATACAGCCTATACTTGTTGTGTTGTGAAGTGCCGCCGAGTTGGTTCTGACCCATAGCAACCCTGTATAGGGTTTCCGAGGAGCAGCTGGTGAACTTAAACTGCCGACCTTGCTGTTCAAATGGCTTTGCAGTCTGGTGCACTAACCCGCAGCGCCACACCAGGCCTCCAAGCCTATATTAGACGGCTTCAAAAACTCGTGGGAACATTCCATTTTCCTGGAACTTTCTGAAGCCCTTTTGCATGCGTCCTGTGAAGACGACCTCGCTGTCTTTCATTTTCTTAAGTGAATGAGCAGAGGTGTTTCATCTGGGGACCCTCTGATGATGTTTAAACAGAGACGTGGAGCAGTTGTGTTGGTGGAGGTGCTGTCTGGGGAAGCGTGCGGTTCCCAGCCACCTCCCACAGCTGTCACCTGCACCAGGTGACATGTGGTCTGTGGACTCTGCCAGGTGGACACTGTGTCCTGTGCCTTCAGTTATGATGACATCTTAACTCAATACCACACGAGAATGAACACTGTTCCTTCATGCGCTTCCAAAGGCGGAGATCCCGCGGAGACTTGGCTGTGCTTTCTCTTCATCTTCCACAAAACGGCCCCATCGGGGAGTTCACGCTGACCCCCTGCAACTCCAGCGTGCACACACTCCCGGGGTGGTACTGTAAGAACAGCACTTGGACTGTGAACCACAAGGTAAGCAGTTCAAACCCGCCAGCTGCTCCTCAGAAACCATCCACAGAGTCACTAAGAGTTGGAACCAACTGGATGGTACTTAACAGCCTTCCACAGAGCAGACGTTTTCCCTTTAGGGTGGTTTTTAAACATTGATTTTCCAGCCAAGAAGGGTATTTATTTGGTGTTTTACTGTTCCTATAATACTCTTCCACGTAAGTAACTGCATAGAATCCTATTTGTCACCCAAAGGCGTAACCCGACATTATTTTTGTTAAACACGGGAGCCCAGAATTAAATTACCTATTACATCATTAGTTTGCTAAACAATGCCTGACATAATGCATATTTAAGCATACCGGTGAAAAGAAATGTTAAAAAGCATTTTAAATATTTGTTAAGTGATGCAAATTTTCTTCCCCAAAGTAGGATTATTATAACTCAAGCCTCTGCCAGTAGGCCGTTCAATGGAGGAATCCTCCCTCTTTCATCTTATAGCAGCGAGTGACTTGGCAGCTTGTTCATGGGCAGGGATGCTATGTCTTAAAAATGAAATGACAGGTCAAACCGTGTTTGTGATCTGACACTCGAGACTGTTGTCACCAACACTCCAATTTCTGCTGGTGGTTTTGAGAAGACCAGCGAGACATCCCAGACCTTGCAATGGCCACCCGAGGTTGGACAGCTCAGTGAGCAACGAGGGATAAGGGACGACTTCTGTTTTGTATGTTTCCAGTGTCAGAACACACAAAGCCAGGTGTTAAGACCAGAGATGAATGCAACTCCTCCCTCTCAAGTGCTTCTAGGACCTACCTCCCCCTCCCAACGGCCCAGGAGCCCAGCTGAGACCTCCCCCACAGGGTGAATCCTGACTCGGGCCAGGCTGGTTATCTGCACGCTAGGCAGTTTTGATTACCAGCAACGAGCCAAATATAGCATCAGAACTCACACCCCAGCAAGGTGTCTTAACACCAACTTCTCCAGACGGTTTCCGTGTCCCTCTGGGCAAGGGGGAGAGCATACAGCCTGCTTGCACAACTTGGTACCTGCATGTAACAGCACCTCACAACAACAACACGGTCAGACAGAAAACTGCACCCTCACAGGAACGAGGCCTGTCAGACTGCAGCCACCGGGAAGGAGAGGAGTGAGTGGAGTGCTTGGGGACAGACTCCAGGTAGACTGCACAGGGCGGGAGAGTGAAGCTCTAACAAGGTGACCAGGGTGTAAACCATCACTCTCTAGGACCCTGGCAGCTTACACACCATCCCTGCCAGAAGCCACAGGAGCAGCATGGGCAGAGGGGGCAGCCCTACCTAGCTGGGAGAGATCCAGCCGAGTCCAGTGCATCCCTGTGGGGCAGCTCCGGGACAGCGTCCGGATAAACACCTGCCCGAGGCTGTCCAGTGCCCAGAGCGCGTCCTGGCAGGCGGCGTAGGCCCTCATCTCAGCGTCGGGGGGCAGCTGCACGGTGGAGGGTCGAGACTGGGCGCTCTGGGTGCTGACACGGCAAAGGTCCTTGGTGCTGTGACATAGCCACAGGGAGCTTCCTGCGGGGAGGGCACGGGTCAGTGAGGCTGGACCCCAAGCTCCCCGCTACTCCCACCTGACTTCATCCCCCCAGGTGGAGAGTCCACAAGGCAGAAGCAAGAAGTCAGAGGGCGTACCATTGAGGGGGAAGCAAACCCGAAATGACAGTTTGAAATGAGAAGAAAGCAGAGCTTCTGGGATTTACAAAGACTATCATGTAGTCCTGGTATGGCGCTGTAGGGTAAGCACTAGACTACTAATCACAAGGTTGGCGGTTCAAACCCACCAGTGGATCCTTGGAACCGACTTGTCGGCACTCAACAACAATTGTGCTGGGTTGTGAAAGTGTTTAACATGTTCAGCTATTTGAGTCTACCGGAGGTGCTTGGAAGAAAGGCCTGGCAATCTCCTTGTGAGAACTCAGCCATTCAAAACCCTGTGGAGCACATTTCCACTCTGACACACATTGGGGCGCCACAAGTCAGGAGTCAACTTGACAGCAACTCTTGCTGTTACCTTGGGTATTTTATAGTCTTGAAGTGGAACAAGGCACTGGAGCATTTTCAAGCAGAATGTTCTAGTTTCCCAAAAGGCAAAGGAGGCTATCATCAGCCCTCAAACATAAGATCAGCAGTTCCTCAGGAGGAGGGAGCGCCCACTACCCGACCTCCCAGTCAGCTCGAAAGTTGGGTCGCCTGCCTTTTCCAGCCTTACTTCTAAGAGATCCTGTTCTGCCCTTTTTATAGGGTTAATGTTGTCATTAAATGCCATGATAATGACCCTGTATAGGGTTTCTGAGGCTTTAAATCTTTTTGTGGGAGCAGAAAGACTCATCTTTCTCCCTTGGAGCATCTGGTGGGCTCAAACTGCCAACCTTGTGATTCACGGTCCAGTGCTTAGACTATGGAACTACCAAGCTACCCAGGGTTAAGAGATGCTTGCTTAAAATGTAAGCAATCCTCTGACAAGTTCCACTCTGAGTCATAAAACATCAAATAGGTCCACATCCCTTATCTACAACGTGTGACCACACTGGGCATGCCCTGTATTGCCTTGGTAGGTGGCTGAGGAAAACTAGAAGGAGCCTCCTGTTGGTCCAGGTCAGGTTTTGCTGCCAAATGAACTTGTGCTGAACTTGGGAAACAGCTTTCTAGATTTTCAGAATTGTAGCCAGAGAGGAGGGGAGTGTGCGCTTAGTGGACTAAACCCCTGCTTCCAAGAGGGCCAAAGTAGAGCCCACACCCAACCCTGGGATAGTCCTGGGAGGACAGGGCCTAGTTACCCCGGCACTCTGAGAGAGGAAGGTCTGTGTGGGGCATGAATGTGGGACACGACTGGAGAAAAGGGGAGTGAGGAGGTGACAGGAAGGTGCTGAGGAAGCTAGCTCCTAGGGGCAGCTGGCCATGGCCCCGCAGCGTTCTGCTGAGTAGCCTCGGCCACATTGTGCCACCTTCACACCCAGGCAGCCTTGCTGCAGCTGCTGGGCCCCGGGCTCCATGGGAGCTGGCCCACCACACCACATCTTCTGTCTGAGGCCCGGGCACTCGCCATCGCCGAGGCAGTCACAGGCAGACCGCAGTTTGACTTTGCCAACAGCCAACCCATGCCCCATATTTCTCCACCAACCTTCCCGTGAGGGAGCTGTGGAGGCCAGCACAAAGGCCCATTTTGCTGCCGAAGCTGTCCCGTGGGGAACCACGTTATTCCAGTAAGTGCCTGCAGGAAACACACAAGAATGTAGGAAAGGAAAAAAGAAAAGAAATCCAGGTTAGAGCTCAAGTCCTAGGGAACAGCTGACCCTCAAAGCCCCTAACAGTGAGCCCTAAAAACACCCACCCCGCGGCCATGGCAAGCCCATGTGCTACAGAGCAGAATTGCCCCACAAGGTTTTCTGGGCAGTAGTTTTACAGGAGATTGGCAGGCCTTACTTCCGTGGCGCTGCCAACCTTTCGGTTCATAGCTAAGCGCACCACCTCACAGCAAATTCTAGAGTGTTCTTACAATAGGAAGTAAGAGCAAGGAGTGACAGCCCACCTTCCCTTCTTTCCTGGGGGCCACCAGGCAGTGCCACAATCTTGTCCTGGTCAAGGGGGAGGCCCCCAGGGGAAGAAAGGAGAGAAGTGAACATTTATTCACAGAAATGCACCCAGCTGCCCTTGTGAATTTACACATTCTCCCAGATATGGTCCGAGCCTTCCATTTCCAACCCAAACCCAAAGTCCTGTTTCTGGTGCATCAATTCCGACTCCTCAAGACCCTGATGTCTTATAGCCGCTGTGTTACCAAGGCTCAGCCCCACTTTCTACACTGATGAGAGTTCTCACTCAAGGAAGGAGAATCTTCCCTCACTAACAAAACAGCCCACTGCCAGCAAGTCGGCTCTGACTCCTAGCAACCCCATAGGACAGAGCAGAAACGCCCCACATGGACTCTGAGACTGTCCATATTTACGGAAGCAGACTGCCTCAGCTTTCTCCTGTGGAGCAGCTGCTGGGCTCGAACTGCCGACCTTTCAGTGAGCAGCCCAGACCTTAGACACACAGCCACCATGGCTCCTCTTCTCTCACTAGGAGAGGTTTTAGGTTTGGGGGGAATTTTGCATTAAGTATGAAGTTATGAACCTAACACGGGAGTCCTGGTGTGGTACTGCAGGATCACCACTGGACTGCTAACCACAAGGTCTGTGGTTCAAACCCACCGGCTGCTCCTCGGAAACCCCACACTGAGTTGCTATGGGTCTGAACGGACTCTGATGGCAGTTAACAACAACGAACCTAACAACAAGTCCGTTTGCTCTTCTTCTACCGTAGTGGGCTCCCAGGGGGAAGAGACCACATACCATCCAGACACTGGGATGCCAAGTCTGAGGAGTGAAGAGTCAAAATAGAAAAATGGTTCAGTGTGACCGTGGCTAATGTTACTGAAGAGTAACTGTGAAGGGTATTACCATGGCACATGTTCTACTACCTATGTGCTTACCGTAATACTTAGAAATATACATAATAAACAAGTGGAAATGTCTCCTCTAAAAAAATGAAAAAAAAAAGGAGCAAAACTCATGGCAGAACATAAATCACACTGCAGTTCCAAAGGCCCACACCACCAGTGGCTGTGAGAAACCCCACACAGGGTTGCTATGAGTGGGAACTGACAGCGCACAATGACAACATAGCACTGGACTCAACCAGCTTAGAAAGCTGAGCTGGTAAGGAGCCCTGGTGGCATGGTGATTAAGCACTTGGTGGCTAACTGAAAGGTTGGTGGTTCAAATCCACTAGACACTCAGGAGAAATACATGGCAGTCAGCTTCTATAAAACTTTCCACCTTGGAAACCCTAGAGGGCCCTTCCAGTCTGCCCTGTAGGGTCGCTGAGTCGGAGATGACTCGACACAAACAGGTCTGGGGGTGGTGTGAGGCTCTTCAAGCGTGTGCCCTCTGGTGAAGTCGCCCACCTCTGAGACTGCCCTTGGCGACATGAAGCTCGTTCCTGCCAGACGACAGCCAGACACCCACAGTGTTGACGCCCAGAAGGCTGGGTTGGCACTGGGGCTGCTGAGACCAGAAGGCCATGCGCAACTTGTCTGCCACCTTCTCGACGGGTGCTTGGGCCGCGGTGGCCGCCGAGTGCGTGGCGTGGATGAGTGTCTGGAAGAGGCTGCCCTGGTCGAACACCACGTAGTCGGTGATGCTCACCTGGAGGGAAGAGGAGCAGAGCGCGGTCTGAGTGCTGCCACACGTGAGCACCTTGGGTGGGTTCCGGTCACCTCCACACTCCTGACTGTCCAGTTACAGGTGACCACACACCCAGACATGTGTGTGTGTGTGCACTCAGACGTGTACAAACACACACCAGTGTACAAAAGGGTCAACACAAGTCTCCTTGGGCACCGCCATGCTGCCTACTCAGTACTTTGGGGGGTCTGAGTTCAAAGGGAAGGAAATGTTCAATTTCCCTCTTTTCACATCTGCGGTTAGCCTACCCCTGCCTCCCACAACACCTTTCATTCCAGTCTGTGTGAGACAGGGTCATTTTGCTTTTCAATTTAAGTCTGTCCAAGAGACAAAGTAGGATGCTTAGCATCAAAATTTAGGTGGAAACTGGCTTCAGAATTAGGGTGATCACATGACAAGTGACCTACACCAGGAGGACCACTAAGTCTGTGGGGCCAACAGCACGAACCAGCCTCATCCTGGGCATCTGAGCAGCCTCTTTCTGGCTGGACAGCGCTGGGGCTACAAGTTCAAATTCCACGTGGTTTTCCCTCGCTGTCTCACTCGACCCTGTGGGGTCTGATCCGAGAGAACGACAGTAGCACAAAGGCCCTGGTCCTTACGAGACTGTCACCTCCTTCCCAAGTCATGAAAGGTGACCCTGCTCACACCTCCTCTTCCTCAAAGTGTTTTCCTTTCCAGGCATGCGTGGGAAAGTTCCTTTCTTTGTAGAAACACCATTTACTCAGAGAGCTTTCCAACAAGCAGACATGTGAGTTTTAATTGTGGGTTGAAATTTCAAACCTATTGTCTCATCTCTTTTCTTAGCATGTTTGTTCAGAATTAAACTTAATTATTACCTAGCTCATCAGAGAGATGTTGCTGGGTTTATTTAGCATCTAATGATAAACTTGTCAACAACATCACCAACACAGCCTGCCCCAGGTTTCAGGATAGAGGGGGTGAGAGGGAAAGCACTTGGCATTTCTGAAGAACAGCACATTGCGTGAATTCTTCTTGTCCAGCCTGACCTCGCTGGTCTCCAAAGGGAGGGGCAGGGGAGAGGTGTGCACCCGCCGCCTCGGGCCCCTGGCACACAGGGCCAGCTGAATGCCTACTTGCCACCAATGGTCGTCGTCCCCCTGCGGCTTCTTGGAAACCATGCCGGTTCTGAACCACAGATTTCCACGGGTATCCAGGGCCCAGAGCGTCTGCCGGTCTCCAAGGGCAATGCAGACGGGCTCCAACGCCTGCCGCTCACTGGGAAGGAGAGAGCTCAGAGTCAGCACCCCAGCAGGTCCCACCCGTGAGGAGCCCATCTTCATTTCTGGGAAGAGGGTTTGAGTTTGGAAGGAACTGCCTAAGCATCCTAAGTTGCTTCAAGGCCTGGTAGCTTCTGAAAGTCTTACTCAGTGAAGGCTCCACAGGGGAATGCCCTGAGAAACAAGAAGGTTCATCTACTGCTCAAGGCCTAAGAACCTCCACACCTCTCTTCCCCCTCACTTTTCTGCAGCTGTCCTCATGGATGCACTCAGCTGGGAACACGCTGCCTACCCTGTCCATCTGGGGACATCCTTGTCCACTCCAAGGCTCGGCTCAGGTCACACCCCAGGAAGTCAGCAGCCCTCAGCCAACAAGCACCTTGGGTTTAGGACCAGCTCTACTAGCTGTCAAGGAAGCCTGGTGGTGCAGTGGGCTAGAGGAGGCCATCTGCTTGGTGAAGATTTGCCGCCTCCAAGGCCCCATGGAGCAGGCCTAGCCTGTCCTGTGAGACGCTAGGACTCGGAATCCACTGGACGGCAGGACGCACTAACTACTGTGACCCCCCACGCTGGACTGGGAGCTCCTGGAGGGCAGGGTTATGTCTTAGTCATCTCTGTCCCCAGCAGAGTTCCGGCACAGAATAAAGCCCCAAACCAGTTGTCATGTTGCTGCCGACTCATGGTGGCCCCAAGTGCAACACTGTGGCAGGTTGCCAGACCTTTCTTTCCAGGTGCCTCGGGGTGTCCAATCTTTTGTGTTCACTGCCTGCCCACCCAGAGACGTTTGGCACCCAATAGGTACTCACTACAGGCTTCCTGAAAGGAGCTCTGGTAGCGCAGAGGTTACAAATCAGGCTGCTAACCTCAGGGTCAGCAGTTCCAAACTATCAGCTGTTCCGCAGGAGAAAGATGAGGCGTTCTGTTTCCGTAAAGATTTACAGCCTCAGAAACCCTGTATAGGATCGCTATGAGTCGGAACCGACTCCACGGCACATAACCACCACCATTCACAGGCTTTCTGAATCTCTGTAAATTCATACCAAGGATATCCGAATCTAATTTTTCTAAGGATCTCTGGTAGCGTAGTGGTTACTATCAGGTTTATAATCGGGCTGCTATTCTCACAGTCAGCAGTTCGAAACTACCAGCTATTCTGTAGGAGAAAGATGAGGCTTTCTGCTCCCGTAAATTTACAGCCTCGGAAACCCTGTACAGGGTCGCTATGAGTTGGAACCGACTCCACAGCACATAACAACAACAACAAACTCATACTTTTGGAGTCCTGGTGTGGTGCTACAGGACTGCAAGGTCAGTCTGAACAGCAACGTCGGCAGTTCAACCCCACCAGCCTGTCTTCAGAAACATCAGACAAGGTCGCTATGGGTCAGAACTGATTCGACACTTTCTTAACATCTCAGACTTTAACAGTTGTTATTGTTGTAAGGTGCTGTGGAATCAGTTCCAACTCACAGTGGCCCTGTATAGGGTTCCCGAGGCTATAAATCTTTACGGAAACAGAAAGCTTCATCTGTCTCCCTTGGAGTGGTTGGTGGATTTGAAACTGCCAACCTTGTGGTTAGCAGTCTAATGCCTATCCTATAATTCCACCAGAATATCCTAATCTAATTTTTCTAAGGACTTTCACAGTAGTTTTGAGAATTCTGTAACTAAAATCTTGAACGTCAGAAGTGACCCAATTTCAACTGACAGAATGAAAGTAAAAGAAAACTATCTGTCCTGAAACCAGTCTGGAGTCTGAGCTGAAACTGCCTGACAGTGGGAAGCTCTGGATGGATCAGTGGTCAGGAGGCGTGGGGCCGGCACCTGAGCCTGAGCCCCGTCCAGTTGCCTGAGCCAAGAGGAGACAGAAATTCTTCAGGCTCTTGCTGCTCGAGCAGTTCCGGAGCCCAGTATGGCCATGAAAACCGCCAGGGAAAGGCTCAGACCAGGAAATGAAGCGTGGCCCTGGCCCTCTGGGATACCTGACGATGTCACATTTCCACTGCTCGCCCTCGGGGCAGAAGCTGCTCACACCCTCTCGGTACAGCAGGGCCCGCTGCTCCGTCAGGGCCCACACCACGCTGTTGCGGGCTGTGATCTGGGACAGTGGGTATGGGCAGTCGACCTTCACAGCTCGGGCACACGGCCGGTCCACGCTGAGGCCTATGAAGGACCAACAAGGAGACCCCAAAGACAAAGGACAGCAGTCAGATCACACGCCTCCTTGTTTTTCTTTGGCAGTATTTTGCTGTATTCTTTAACAACATGTGTTTTTTAAAGTTTGATCCACAGAAAACAGTTAAGTGTAGTATCTGGGAGCACAGTGGCTCCCCATAGGATAAACACTCCACATAGGATAAAACAAGCTCACCAGTTTTTCTGCAGGAGAAAGGTGAGTGTTCTGTTCCCACAAAGATTTACAGCCATAGAAACCCTACATTTCGTGTTGCTATGTATCACAACCGTCTTGATGGCACTTAACAACAAGTGTTACTATCTACCTGAAGCATTGTCAGGTGTTTGGTAACTGTCAGTGAGGGAATGACAATTCAGAATTCTCTGCTGTTGTGAAGCAATTTCTTCTGAAGGAAATTCTGAGGGGAAACTGCGAGAGCCGAGAGCAGGAAAGCAGCTCACTGGGAGTCAGGTGGGCCCAGGACTGGGGCAGCCTTTAGAGCTGGCTGTGTTGTGCCCCACGTCTCCTGCTCTGGAGAGCTGTGTGTCTCGGGGCCTTGACTCGCAGAGGGGCCTCAGTTGCTAATGGAGTGTGTGCGTGTAGCTGTCTCTGGCCTCTATCCCCCCTCCCCCCTCAGCTTTTACATGGCATGTGTCAGGAAGTTAAGTTCCACAGCTAACAGAAAAGCTTGAAATCCTGGGCTGCTAGCCCGGGCTGTCCCCTTCCTCTCTGGCCTGTCTTGGGCAGACACTGCTACCTCAGTGGAGCTGGCCAAGAGCCAGCACCCAAACCTAGTACACCACCCTCAGATCTCATCATCACTTTTGCTCTTAGGTCTGTTTCTCACATCTGCTCCTAGGAATAGCACAGACACTATGGAACTTGTTACAGCCCAAGTTCAGGATCAGGCCGCAGAGACCATAATCCAGGAGGTGTGGGCGGGGCCGTCCCCTGAGACTTCTGTTAATGACACTCCAGTGCTCCTAGGAATAGCACAGACACTATGGAACTTGTTACAGCCCAAGTTCAGGATCAGGCCGTAGAGACCATAATCCAGGAGGTGTGGGCGGGGCCGTCCCGAGACTTCTGTTAAGGACACTCCAGTGCTCCCGGGAGCTGGAGGTAGAGGAGGAAGTGTGGTGTGTGCACCTTCACGAGCTGTCATCACCTTACAGGGACGGCTTAGCCCCACCCCTGGCGAGGCTGTCCAGCAGGGTCTGAGCACAGGCAGCTGGGGTGCCCAGTTCTCCTACGTCGGGGGCAGAGCCTGAGGAGGAGGAGGAGGAGCAAGGCCTCAGTCTCAGAGACTCACAAGTGGAGTCAGAATGCTCCCCTGGAGTCAGCACTATATAACGGTCCGAAGACCCGTCCTTTCCTCAATCTGATCTGCCTCCTAACAGACAAGCAGGACCTCCGCCCGCCAGCATCCTGTCCCACAACGACACGTCAGCTGCTTCGGGAAAACCTCTTACCACTCTGTTGAGGTACACTGCACGGATGCTAGCTGAACTTTTCCCACCGGCTGAAGATTCCCCAAGGGCGGTTCCCTAGGAAAAGCTGAACTGCTTTTAGAGGAAAGTATTTCTCCTCGTGCTTTTCTGACCCACGTGGAAATAAGTACACAGAAGTCAGGCTCTAGCCTGCCTGAGGACCCCATCACACTTGAGCTGCTCTCTCCTTTTTCTGGCTTCCTGCTGTGGGACCTGGGAGCTACGCCTGTCCACTCTGGCCCAAGCTCCTCCTGGGCTCAATGTGTATCACAGGAAACTGCTCGTAAAGTCCAAGTGACCACTTCTCTTCTCCCAGGGGTGTTCCACTTACCTGGGATGTCAGCATCTTTATGGCCGTGACTGCGCTGTTTGTCACTAACCAAGCAGGGCGCAGCATGAAGGAACTATATCAGAATCCAGGGACGCCTGACTCCACCATACTCACCTGTCTGCAGGTACAGATCTCCATTTGTCCTGACGATCCAAGCTGTGTCATCGCTCAGTGCCACAAACACTGTCTGCGGCAGCGCTTCATACCAGTGCCGCTTGCCTTTGACAGTCACTTTCCCACAAGCAAACGCGCGGTTGGATTTCTGCTCGATCTTCCAGAGAAGGGCTCCTGTAACGAAGACGACCAGCCTACTCGTTTTCCAGCCGGTGCTGAGAATTCTCTGTGAAAACCTCATTCTACACTCAGCGGGAGAGACTCCTAGAGCACACCCTGGTCAGGTGGGAGGAATCAGATGCTGCCCATTCGCTGTGAGGCACTGGACATCATGACAGTTAATGTCTCCAACCTTCATTTCCTCATCTGTGCTGTGGGGACACTAGGAAGATAGCAGCCCACAGAGTGGGGCACTCCAGGACTTGCTAGTTAAAGAGCGGCAGGTTCAGGAGCCCAGCACCCAGAGATGTGTCTTAAAGTACTGGGTGACTAGTGCCTGGGAAAGTCGGAAGGACCTGAGTGGAATGGGGAGGCTGCGGTAGCATGGAGTGTGTGTGTGTGTGTGTGTGTGTGTGTTTACCATGAGGGCAGCCTGGTCGACTGGAGGGTTTGCTCCTGAAAGAGGAGAGGTAAGCCCAATACTAATACACACGCCTCCAGGGTCCCTGAGAGGGACACAGCAGAGAGCCCCCAGCAGGAAGAGATGGAGCCGCTGTGGAAACAAGGAGGGGCTTCGTAGACTGAAAACCAAGTAATTCACCTAATAAAGTAAGGAAAGAACCCAGGTTTCTGAGCGGTGAGAGCAGAGTCTAAGGATGACGTTCCAGTGACACCAGATGTGTGCTGAGGGGCTGGAAGACTCTTATTTCTGCCAGACTCCACTGAAGCTATTTGCCAGCAAGCAGGGTGAGCAAGAAAGTAAAGCAGCCTTCAACAAAGAACGGCTGTCCCCGTCACAAAGACTGAGGGCAGGAGAGACGAGATAGACAGGCCTGGATGGGGCACTGTGGACCTTCAGTCTGATGTCCAGTCTCATGTCCTGGTCCACGGAGTAGATTACCACACTCAAAACAGGCAAGCACCTCTGGTCTACTGCTCTCCCCGCAGAACAAGTAGTGGCCGACGGTAAAGGTGTCCAGTGGTAAGAGAAAAGAACCAGGTGCCAACCTCCAGCCTCGTGGGGCATCATGTATGAGAAGCGGCCTGAAGATGTCCTGAAAGAACTAATGGGTTTCTCTCTGCAGGCAGGAAGGAGGTTACCCCCAAAAGCACAATGCTCAAGACAAATAATTTCTGAAAAGGAAATCAAATCACGTGACTAAACCCCACATACCTACAGGCCAGTCTTCATGCGTTCAGCTGCTTTAAGGCAACACTGAGAAACAAACCTATTTTTCTTTATAACGGGCTGGTATATTAACCACCACTCATCTATCAGTTTGTCGTACTGTGGTGGCTTGTGAGTTGCTGTGATTCTGGAAGCTATGCCATGGGCATTTTAAACACCAGCAGGGTCATCCATGGTAGACAGGTTTCAGATGAACTTTCAGACAAAGACAGACTAGGAGGAAGGAGGGATGAACTACTTCCGAATATTTAGTCACTGAAAACCTTATGAATAGCAGAGAAACACCTCTTAGATATAGTGCTGGAAAGCGAGCCCTTCGGGTTGGAAGGCACTCAAAATGCGACTGGGGAAGAGCCGCCTCCTCAAAGTAGAGGTGACCGTGATGACGCGAATGGAGTAAAGCCCATGGGAGTAAAGTCGAAAATTGGAAGTTGTCAAAAACGAAATCGAATGCATAAACATCGATATCTTAGGCATTAGTGAGCTGAAATGGACTGGTATTGGCCATTTTGAATCTGACAACCACATGGTTTACAATGACAAAATGAAGAGGAATCGTGTTGCATTCATTGTCAAAAATAACATATCCAGATCAGTCAAAGAGGTACAACACTGTCTGTGATGGGATAATATCACTGCGCCTACAGGGAAGCCCAGTTAACACCACTATTATTCAAATTTACGCACCAACCACTAAAGTCAGTAAGGATGAAACATAAGAATTCTACCAACTTTTTCAATCTGAAATTGATCAAGCATGCAATAAAGATGGATTGATCATTACTGGTGATTGGAATGCAAAGGTTGGGAACAAAGAGGAAGAATCAGTAGTTGGAAAATATGGCCTTGGTGATAGAAATTATGCTAGAGATCGCATGATAGAATTCTGCAAAACCAATGAGTTGTATATTTCAAATACCTTCTTTAGACAGCATAAGAGACGATTATACACATGGACCTTACCAAATGGGATACACAGAAATCAAATAGACTACATCTGTGGAAAGAGACAATGGAAAAGATCCGTATCATCAGTCAAAACAAGGACAGGGGCAGATTATGGAACAGACCATCAATTGCTCATATGCAAACTCAAACTGAAACTGAAGAAAATGAAAACAAGTCCATGAGAGACAAAAAAATTATAACCTTGAATATAGCCTACCTGAATTTAGAGATCATCTGATGAACAGATTTGATTAAACACTAAAGACCGAAGACCAGAAGAGTTGTGGGATGACACCAAGAACATCATACACGAAGAAAGACATTTCTTGTCATTAAGAAGATAAGAAAGAAGGAAAAGATCAAAATGGATGCCAGAAGAGACACTGTAACTTGCTCTCCAGTGTTGAGATGCTAAAGCAAATGGAAGAAACAAGGAGGTATAAGAGTTGAACAGAAAATTTCCAAGATCAGCTCGAGAAGACAAAGTCAAATATTACAATGAAATGTGCAAAGATCTGAAGTCAGAAAACCAAAAGAGGAGAACACG